TCCTTGTTTTTTAATGCAGCATAGTATTCCATTGTGTGAATATACCACAGCTTCTCTAGCCATTCGTTTGTTGATGGGCACTTAGGTTGTTTCCATTCATTGAGCATATACTACGTGCTATGTTCAGTGTGCATACCACCATGAACAATACAGATAAAGCTTCTGCTTCCCAGGAGCTAACAGCCTCATGGGTAAGAATGTGATGAAAACTGTGCCATGTGAAGTATGAGGAAGAACAAGGCACATGCCTAGAATTCCAATCTAATCAATAATTCTGCCTGAGAAAGAGATGTTCATTCATGACTTGAATCATATAGTTGTCTAAATAAAGAGGAAGTCAAAGAGTCATGCACATAAAGAAATTATCAGTCTTGAATGTGAGAGAAAGCATGTCAAAACCCAGAGGCATTTCAGAATGACTGAATGAAAACCCAATACAATTTATAAATTTTCACTCCACCACAATTTAAACATCTTTAAATCATAATCATTTCTAAAAATACACAAAAGAACTAAAGGCATTTCCATGATTGTAACAGTAAGAGGCAGACTAATCAGATGAGTCTGGAGATGTCAGCAAGGTCGGATCAGAGAAGCTTACAGTAGGGGCAGTCACTGAGGGATTTTAAGGAAAGAAGTGACATGCCTAGATTTACATTTGGATAAAATAATTCTAGCTGCAGTGAAAAGGACCTTGAAAGAGGTCAAGATGGGAGGCAGAAAAACCAGGTAGGAATTACTGTAATGTTTATTCATTTCATTTTCCCCCTCTCCTGACAGATATTTGGATTAACTCTTGTCTGCCAGAAACTATCACCACTGATGATCCCATATTCAACACTCAGACATCAACAGATGCTAATGTTAGTGACAGCGCATACTCAACATCGTCCCCTTCCTCTGCCCCTGCTCTTACAACTGCTCCTGCTCCGGCTACTACTCCACGGAAGCGAAAATTAATTTGTATAACAGAAGTTTACACAGAAACTAGTACCATAGGTACAGAAAGTGATGCATACGATGGAAGCCAAGCAACATTCGAGAAAGAAGCTCCTGAGTTCGGAGGTAAAAGTTATCTATCTGTGCTATGCACTTATGTGTAAGAGACAACATGTGGAGAGATTAGCCTGTCTCAGATTAGACGCTTAGGATCTGTCAAATACAAAGAGAAGCTTAACGCAAACGCAACTTTCAAAAAAGCATTAGGACTTGAAAATGGTGAAGAAGTTTAGTGACTAAAATGAAATATTGTGAAAATAAAATAGCCTCAAAGACTTTTTCTATCATTTACTAATGTATAACACCTTGAATGCTTCTAATAGAATGTTTGTTCTCCTATCAACAGTCTTGTGCCTTGTTAGCTCCACAGAAAGGAAACAAATCCCATCTTTCATTCAGTAATTGTCAGAACAGAGCAAGACTGAGGGGCAGGGCCACTGATTCCGCAGGTAGAAAGCAAAAGAGCAGGTGTTGACTCAATAGTCTAAGTGACCTTTGTCTGATCACAGAGAAAGCCTTTCTCCTATACTAGGTCTTATTTAAATAATTTGGTAAAATGCGTCTTTAAAAGAGCCACACATGACCACGCACAAGTAAAGGACTAACAAGCCACGTCTCTGTCCTCCAGGTGTTCCCACAACTCTGCTAGTGCTCGCTCTCCTCTTCTTTGCTGCTGCAGCTGGTCTCGCAGTCTGCTACGTGAAAAGGTGAGGCTGTTGACACACTGCTCATGTTGCAACCTTTGTCAGAGCCCAATACTGTGTTTTGCCAGGGCTGTTACTGGCTTTCTCTTGGTCAAACTGGAGATGCTAGTAAATATCTCCCACCTCTTCTTTGCCATCTAATTTTCCCTACGATTTCATCACATACATTTCAGCCAGTTTGTAGATATAGGCCAATGGCTGTTCTTTTGAAAATCAAAAAGGTTGGCATTGAGAAAAAAGAAATCATATGCTTTATCTGATCTTTTTTTCTTTATTGTGATGGATGGGTGGTGAGGTCATCTGGGAATTTATCTTACTTAAATGAATTTACTGAGGTGGGTGGGCATGTGTGCTTTAGCTTCATTCTGAAGTAAAGGTTCTAATCCAACATGTGTCATCACAGAGAAGCATTGCCTATTGTTGTTAAGAGTTCTATGTGGAAGTCTCTCAGTTGCCTTTTATATTTATGCCTAAAGGTATGTGAAGGCCTTCCCTTTTACAAACAAGAGTCAGCAGAAGGAAATGATTGAAACCAAGATGGTGAAGGAGGAGAAAGGGGATGATAACCCTACTGAAGAATCACAGAAAATGGATAAAAAGATAGAAGAGCCCAAGAGTCCACCAAAAACAACAGTGCGATGCCTGGAAGCAGAAGTTTAGATAAGAAAGAAACGAGAGGACGCAGCTAAGGCTGGTTTCTTTCCTGCAGCCTAAGAATCCTCCCCAATTGGGGAAACTAATGGGCCAAAGCACCAAAGCAGAAAGTCCATCCTTGGTACCTAACTGGAATTCACTCAGGCTGCCTTTAGACTCTGGAGTTCATCAAAAGGAACGTCTTTCTTCTGGAAACCTTTTCCAGATACTCCTTCCCACAGCCTTTCTACACTGATTATGTCCTAATAAAATCCCAGTTAAGAGAAAGAAGCTTCGTAGAACTCAGAATCTAAACAAACTTGTAAAAAGGCTTCTAGGCTGTCATGAAATAGGTGAGTTGAGAACCCAGGAGCCTCTGAGTCCAAGCTTTCTCTATCAACCCCACAGCCCACATACTTTCTTAGATCTGAAAGAAACACTTAAACCACGCTGTCATGTCCTCCTGAACCAGATACAAGCAAAAAGGAAGGCAGGAAAAGTTTAGCAAAGTTTAGCAAATGAAAGCCAGGAGATCCCTGTGACTAGAGACCTAATATCTGTAAAACCAAAAGACATAAAAAAAATGAGACCAAAGTTACTGATAGCCTACTGCCTGCGGAGACTACAAACACAGGCAGAGTTAAAGCATTCTTCTCTAAATAATTTGAATTGGAGTAGGTTTTTTTCCCCTCTTTCTTTACTGCTGCTATTTTCTCCAGAACAAAGAGAAACATTTTTTACATGAAACAAATAAAAAATACTCTTACAAAGCTCTATCTTTATCTAAGTTATAGAAATTACTCTGAGGAAAATGACTATGTTAAAAAGTAATAAAATTGACAAACATTTACATCTATTATAACTGGCACTGCTAAAGTACTACAATCTGCAATTGAGTGCTAGTCAAAAAATTTGTATATAATAGAATGTGGTTTGAAGCAATTTTGTTGCAATGTTCCTAGCCTAGCTTTTCTACTTCCAAAACTGTTATTGTGCTAACATCATTCATTATTTTCTCTAAATGATAACCATAATAACCTTAATTTATTATTAACATACCTACATGATTACCTCTGTACATCAAAGCACATTTTTTAATGCCATTAACAAATGTACTATTAGCTATTCTATTTCAGCAAGAAGAGCTCGAGAGGTGTACAAATATGTGGGCTGGAGAAAAAAAATAAAGGCATTTAGAATTTTTTTTTCTGTCTCTTACTGACATAATAGTAAAATCAAAGGGGGGGCGGAATATCACACTCTGTGTTTGAAAAAAAAAAGACTGTGATTGTTAAAAGAGAAACATGTAAATTGAACAATCCATACATCAGCATTCGAGGCTGTTCTTCTCCAAAATCTTATTTTAAGCTAATCAAGTGCACACACAAATAAATCATTTCTTTACTTGGGATTCAGAGCAGATATTCCAATCTGTTTCTGAATTCACAGGAGAGCTGGATTCAGATGGTCTATTTGTTCTGATTCTCTAGCTTTCTCGTTCCTTTTCTCTGATCCTCCCCCTTAGAATTTTCCCCCCTCATCAGTGATCCCATAAATTCATGGTCCTCTTATCCCAGAGGTCTTAACTTACGATCAAAGGGTTTCCTGGCTGGGTCACAGAGCATTACCTTAAAATATTATATAATTGCCAGGCAACAAAAATTAAGGCATGTCACATACTTCTATTTCTGGATTCTCTTGAGAAAATGGGAATATCTGGAAAGTCTCCTAGTGGACTTGATTGGCTAGTTTGCAGCCTTTTTGGGTTTGTAGCACAGTTCCCTGTGACTCCTCGGGTGGCTTAGTGCCACCACAAAGGTATGAGACTTAAAATCTATAAGCTGTTCCACAGAAGAAAGATGGGCCGCCTCCTCTTGCACAGTTCACTGCCTTTGACAACCCACCAGAGGGTGGGCTACAGGTCGGTTCTGACTTGATGGTACGCAAAAAGATATCAAGTTATTTCACATTGAGTAGTAGCTGCCCTTTTAAAATGCACCATTTCTCCATTTTATCACTTTCCTCACCACTCTATTGCACCCTAATGCCAAAGTGGAGGTGCTGTTTTTTACAGATTTTGTAATATAATCTTTTCCATACCCTAACTATTTCATTCGTTCACACAACTTGCTTGTATTGTTGTTGTTGTGGTGGTTCTATATCACCAAGTCAGAATCAACTGATAGCTAACCCTCCAGCAGATTTTCAAAGGCAGTAAATTGTGTGAGAGGAGATTGCCTGACTTTCTCCAAAGCAGCAGCAGATGGAGCAGAACTGCATGCCTTCAGGCTGGCAGCACGACTCCTTACCATTAAGCCACCAGAGCTCCTGATTGGCCCTGTTTCTCTGTTAAGTTGAGCCTCTTGGTTTTTTCATCAACTCCGGCTCTTCTGGGAGTGAAAAGAAGGCAAAGTCTTGGGTATTAGCTGAAAAAAAAAAATCAGATCATCCATAGTAGGTCCAAAAGAGGTATACAAACGGAAGTGGACCATAGAGGGCTGCACTGAGAGCAGTGACCATGGATCACAGTTATAAAGGATGGTGGAGGAGGGTGTTGGCAGATAGCTTGGTAACAATGGGGACAGGTAGGATATAGAACTGGTCTTCCACAAGATCTAGATAAGTTTCAGGTCACTAGGGTGATAGAATCATCCATTTACAACAGGGTTTCATATATTAATGTTCTTGTCGCTGATCAACTCTGACCTCATATAGAGCACCAACAGCTTTACGGTACAGATAGAGTTACTGTCGTATTAAAACCAATTCATAGCTGACCCTCCAGTGACTTTCCAGGGTTTGTAAGGGAGAAGATTTCCCATTCCCCACCCCCACCCCCGTGAAGTAGCTGGTGGATACAAATGCCTTTAGTTTGGCTGCACAAACTCCTTACCCACTGTTGTTAGATGCTGTTGAGTAAAGTAATACTCATAGCAACCCTATGAGCAACAGATCTGAACCCTGTCCTATCCTTGCAATCCTTACCATCTCTGACATATTTGAGCCCTCTGTATCAACTCAACTGGTTGAGGCTCTTCCTCTCTTTTGCCTACCCTCCATCTTTCCAAGCATAATGTCCCTCTCCAAGGAATAGCCTTGCCTAGCAATACGTCCAAGGTATGTCAGATGAAACTTTACTATTTTTGCCTTCAAGGAGCACTCTGGTTACACTCTCCAAGATATATCTGCTTGTTCTTTTGGCAGTCCATGGCTATTCATTACTCTTCTCCAATACCACAGTTTAACGGCATCAATTCTTTTGTCATCCTTATTCATTGTCTAGCTCTCAGATGCATAGCAAGTGATTGAAAAGCCTACAGACTGAAACAGGCAAATCTTAGTCTTCACATTGTTATCACTGTACCTCAGTAATTGGGAGAGGGCCCTACGCAACCTTGGACAAGTTATTTCATCTCTTCTGCTTCTTTTCTGTAAAATTGTGGTGACAATGCTATATATTTTATCATCTATATTTCAAGAGTATAGCTCTGGTGGCCTAGTGGCAAGAAACTGTGCTGCAATCTCCAAGGAAGGTGGTTCAAAGCCTCCAGCTGTTCTGCAGGAGAAGGAAGGGCAATCTTCCCTGTATGATTAACTGCCTCTGAAAACCTGCTGGAGGGTCAGCTATGGGTTGGTTCTGACTCTATGGTACACAACAACAGTGAACACACAGAGAACACGTATCATGGTGCCTGGTACACTGAAAAATGAAATAAAATAGGCAATATTCTTAAAAGAAAGTATACCTTTAGCTAGAAGAACTGCTGGGGGCATTTTGATATCAAAGTTGACTTCATGGTGCTCCATTCATTTGTCTGGGAGATAATCCACATAAATGGGGAATTGTAAAAGCAATGAAAAATAAAACTTGGCAACATAGATTTGGAAATCAACTGAATACAAGTGATAGCTGAAGCTAGGAGTATATGAGCTTTCCAAATGCTTAAAAATAAGAGCAGGGGGTGAAGACAGAGCTTGAGTAAAAGAAACCAGAAAAGTAGAATCAATGACAAACAAAAACTTAAAATGCAGCATCCTGGAAGATGATGACATTTTAATTTTAGGTGATTGCTTGTTCTTCTGTATCCTATCCCAAAAGAAATTGTGAGGAAATGAACTACACCAGGAAATCTGGATTGTCAACTAGTTCAGTGAACTTGTTCTTTAGTCCTTAGGTGAATCACTTCCCATTTTTCCTCATTTATAAAAAAGAATGTTAGAGCACATAATTTTTCCGTGCTATGAGTCTATGACTTACATACAGGAAATTAAAAAATGGTTACAATTCATAGCACTCAAAATCTTCCTCATATCTTCCCACAGTCCTGTCACAGATGTTTAGTGACCTTACAAAAAAACCCCAAAAGCACTGAACATTCTTTCCTGGAGAAAATATACTTGAATTTCCTAGTCTTCACTACAGAACAAGTGTTTTCTATAGTTTTACTAAAATTTCCATATTAAATGGAAAAAACCTAAATAAAATAGAAAAATCTGAATATACATTACAAACACAAGTTTCACTACAAAAGGATTATTCTTTTAAAAAATTTTGTACTAGTTTATTTACAGAGTTCAATACATTGTTTTGAAAACAGATTATTTCCATTTTCCTCACCCACCTCATCCAACACATTGTACAACCCCATGATTAATCCCCTCTCCCCCTGCACATCCTCATCCCTCTGCTCACACCCTCTCCCATCCCTCTTGGATCCTTATACTCATTCTATGATAATGATTTTATACAATATTTATCACAAAAGAATTATTCTTAAAAAAATAGACGTTTCTCTTCCATAAATCTTATTATTTTTTTATTTAGGGACTCTTACATTTTCCTACACTCTTTTTTATATGTAAGAAAAAGAAAGGTTTTTCTTCTCTTGCTACAAAGCAACTTTGTAATTCCTAATTCTTGGAGGATTTATTCTCTCTCTTATTATGGTTTTAAATCCTTAATAAACTAAACCTTATTACTTTCTTATTCTTTTTAGTTCTAGCTAATTATTAGATTTCTGTAACAT